ATGAAGGAGCTCGAATGGCCCAAACCAATGCTAACCCCTTCGGGCAAGAGAAATCAAAGTAAATACTGCCATTTTCATAGAGACCACGGGCATGATACCAAAGAATGCCTACAGTTAAAAGAAGAAATTGAGCGCCTGCTGAGATGGGAGCTATTGGCAAAGTATGTGAAAAACGATAAGGGCAGGCAAAGGGTCGAAGGTAGACCCCCACCAAGAGCAGGAGTGATAAACATGATCATCGGAGGAGTAGCATCGGGCGGCGACTCAAATTCAGCTAGGAAGAGTTATGCGCGTTCATTAAGGGTCTGCTCTATACAGAAAAAAGCAAGATTCAACCAGAGTATAACTTTCGATGAAGAGGACTTGATTGGTGTAACTCACCCCCATGATGACGCCTTAGTAATAGTAGGCGAGATTGCGAATTTTGACATGAAGAGGGTATTAGTCGATGGAGGGAGTGCGGCAAATGTCCTCACCTGGGATGCCTTCTTGGGTCTAAAAATCCCTCAAGAAAGGTTGAAGGTGGTGACTACCCCCCTACAAGGCTTTGGAGGGGCAACAGTGATACCGAAAGGGACTGTAGAGCTTTCAGTCACGCTTGGGACATACCCAGCGACAGTGGTGATCGTGACTAATTTCTTGGTTGTCAAGACCCCCATGGCTTACAACGCTATCTACGGCCGGCCATTGCTAAATGCAGCTGGCACGGTCCCATCGACATACCATCAAATTATGAAGTTCCCAACCAGCAGGGGGATCGGGAGCGTGCGAGGAGACCAGCATGCATCAAGAAAGTGCTATGTGGATAGTATACAAGCCAAAAGGCCACCATCAGTCATGATGCTGGATGTAGAACTCCTGAGGGAGAGGATCGAGCCGCTTGATATGATTGAAAAAATCTTTATTGACGAAGGAAAGGAGTTTCTTGTTGGAGCAGGTCTGGGATCCAAAGAGAAGAAAAAATTGGCGAAGTGTCTAGCCGAAAATTTGGATGTCTTCGCTTGGAACCTAAAGGATATCTCGGGGATTAGCTCAACTATCGCGCAGCACCGCCTTGGTGTCCAGCCAGGGGCTAAGCCAGTGAAGCAGAAAAAGAGAAACCTTGCCCCTGAGAGGCAGGCTGCGGCCAGAGCAGAGGTGGAAAAATTGCTACAGGCGAGTTTTATCCGAGAGGTGCAATACCCCGAGTGGTTGGCAAATGTTGTACTTGTGAAGATGTCAAATGGAAAATGGCGCATGTGTGTAGACTATACTGGGTTGAATAAGGTATGCCCAAAAGACTCATACCCACTTCCCAGAATAGATCAACTGGTGGACGCAACGTCGGGTCATGAAAGGCTCAGCTTTCTAGATGCATTTTCGGGGTATCATCAAATTTCAATGGCCGAGGCCGATCAAGAGAAGACGTCATTTATCACGGACTTCGGCACATACTGTTACACAGCCATGCCATTTGGCCTGAAAAATGCAGGAGCGACGTATCAGAGGATGGTGAACAATGTCTTTCGTGGGCTAATCGGGGGTGTCGTAGAAGTCTATGTTGACGATATGGTGGTCAAGAGTGCCAGAGCCAATGACCATGTGGCCTGTTTGCAAAAAGTGTTTGACGTTGCCCGACAAAGCAGATTAAGGTTCAATCCAGAGAAGTGTGTTTTTGTAACCGCAGGTGGAAAATTTCTAGGTTTCATGATCACGCAAAGGGGCATCGAAGTGAACCCGGACAAAATTCGGGCAATCCTAAAAATGAAAAGCCCCACCAGCAGGAAGGAGGTTCAGAGGCTAACGGGGCGGGTAGCGGTCTTAAATCATTTCATGAGCCAGGCGGCGGACAAATGCTACCACTTCTTCAAAGCTATAGGGGGCTCCTCCA